CATTTCCTTAAAGAATAGGAATCTACAGATACTGAAAATTATTCTGCAAATAAAATATAGTTTATTCTGCTTCTTGGAGTATTGTTTGCATTGAGGCAAGTAAGACCAGGTTTATTTTCATGCATTTTTCCAAGCTTCAGGATTTGTTTTTCAGAGTAGCCGATATGTTGATACCAGTCCCCAAGAAATCGTCGTACGTGGCTTCCGCTATGATTGATTTTGGACCACATTTTTGTAGCGCTCCTGAAAGGGTTTGATCTGAGAAGCTTTAGCATCTATAATAGTAAACAAAACAATGGTTTTCTCTTTTTCTCATATTTCGTTTTTAATGATATGCAGTCTCCAATGCGCTTTGCGTCTAATGCAGTCATCGCAGAGCGATTTTTTTCGTCGGCCACAAGATCGCCATTACGAATCGCTTTAGTAATTTGAAATGCATGTTCTGCTGACCCGTGATTTTCTCCGAAAACTTTGAATTCACTCATATGGAAATTTGAGAGGATGTTTTTGAAGCCCTGAAAAGTGATAACATTTTCTTGTTCTTGATAAAATTGGCACTGAAAATCCCCGGATTCATATCCCGGTTTTTGACAGACTTTATAACAGATTTCATTTTTGACAGTTCCTTGTTGTTTGCCAGCATTTACGGCATTTTATTTCTTGTTTTGATGAAAATTTACCAAAGTGGTGAATTCTGCATTTTAGACCTGCACAGAAGCTAGCTTGGGGAAGTGCTCTGCCGTTCGCTAGTGGGGAATTGTAAATGAAGCGATTTCCATTTAAGACGCTTGCCATTTTTCCAGTATCTTGGTTTCGAATGTTTTCATAACGAAGTTCACTTTTGAATACAACGTTATTTTTTTAAAATATATTTATAATTTCATTATCTTGCACTGAAAGCGGAATTCCTGAAACCGTGACTTTTAACACCTGTTCTCTATATAGAATATATCTTCGTAACAAAGAAAGTAGACAAAAGCCCCTACTCTCTAAACAGAGATAGTGCTCCAGACGAAAGGAGATAGAGTCATATACAGATACAGTTTGGTTTTTAAATTCATACCCTTGTTGTAGGAGCTTTTGTCTACTTTCTTTGTTATGAAGATATATTCTCCAAAGGTCCCTGTCCAGCTGTATACACTTTACACTATCTCCCACAACTGCGCTCACGGCTTGTAAAATCTATAATTCTCACAGAATTATCTGAGATTTCAAGAAGTTCACTGTTTTTAAGATAGACTGGTTTTTCCATTTCAGAATAACTGTCACCGTCACTAAGGCTTTTCACAATCGAGCAGTGAGTAGTGAGTAGATACTCAATGAAGATAATTTTTTGGTCAAAACTAGCGGAAGTCAGAAAACAACAACCGTCCCTGAACTCGTCACGTGACCTCCATTCGCAATACAAATAGCTTGTTACAGGTCTATAAGTGTTTTCAAGTGGAGAGGGGGGATCCGAAAAAAAATTCCGCGTGACTACGGGTCGATCTGTACTGCATGTGTATCTTTCCAATTATAGAATCTTCCGTACAAATCTCAAACACCTGTAGGTTCCTAGGGCTTCACAGGATTTGATCACGTGACCAACCAAGTTCATTTCCCAGAGAACTTTTTAACATTGTTGTTTATTTCTTAAATAAGTATCTCATCTCCCAAGCCCAAAGGCCCAAAGTAAGCTTTTCTGTTCATAATTCTTCAGCTTTGTTTGCTTTCTTGGCGTATATAAGCGTTATCGTCGTTGTCGTTCTAAAGTTACTTGTAAAATTTTCTCATTTTTATCTTATCAAGAACCACTGGGCCATAACAACGAAAATTAACATAGAATATTTTTGATAAAGTTTTGTTCAAATGAAGGGTCACATCCTCTTTTAACGGATACATGTAGTAAAAATTAGATGGGGTCCAGGCGCGGATCAAGGAATTTTTTTTTCCACGGGGGGGGTGGGGGGTGGGGGGGGATCCCAATAAAAAAATATTTCAACCCAGAAATTTCTTGACAAGCCAAAAAAAAGAAATTCTTTTCACAAACGTGAAAAACCTATTTCGTGTGTGTGTGTTTGTGTGCGTGTGTGTGTGGGGGGGGGGGGGGGGGGGGTCGTTGACTTTTAAAGCTTCATACCTAAGACTTTTCATACCATTTTAACACAGATCCGCATTATCGAGGAAGGGTCTGCGTTTTCTAGGGGGGGGGGGATGGTTACTTTTACTTGCTTTAGTATATACATTTAACTGCCCCCAACCCCCTCTAGATCCGCGCATGGGGTCATTTGAAAATAGTATTCTCAAGAACCCCTGGGAGAAGGTTTGGGCCGGAAAGAGTGTTCATAATTTAACATAGGAATTTATATATCCCCCCAAACGAAGTGTGTTGATTTGGGGTGGGGGTGTTTTGAGTCTTGGAATCACACTGTCCGTCTGCCTAGCTGTCCGTCTGTACGTGATAGTTTGCCCAGGATATAACTTTGTTATGAAGAAACTGGAAGGCCATACTTGGTACAAAGTTTACTAATGATCCGAGGGTGTGTCATGGTTTTGATCCAACATCATTCCGGCAAGTTCAAGGTCACTAAAAAAAAAAATAGCAAAGTTTTGTCCGACACATTTATCTGTAATAGAGAGTCACCGGAAGCTCACTGGATACAGGAATTGCTTATGACAAAAACGGTTTGCTACGACCTTCATTCAAGGTCATTCCTGTAAGTTCAAGGTCACTGACAGAAAAGTGTAAGATTACTGTATGTGCTATAATTTTGGAAGCTCATACTAGGAACAAAGATTGCTTATGATCCACCGGTTTGAGATAACATAGTACTAGATTGGCAGAAGAAGTGGCAAAACTCGTGCCTGGATTATAAATTTATAAGGGGTGGGAGGAACACAGGAAACTTTTTCTCAGATTGCTTGAGATGGGTTTGTCCTGACCTTGAATAGAGGTTTTTCCCGCAAGTTCAAGGTCACTGGCAGATAAATATTTTTTTTTTCCATGCTATAACTTTGTAATATAAAATCACTGGAAGCTATTACTTGATACAGAGAATGCTTATGATCCAAGGATGTGTTTTGACCTTGATCCAAGGTCTTTCTGGTAAGTTCAAGATCACTGACAGAAAAGTGCAATATTCTTTTTCAGGAATATCTTGGTCATTGAGTATCACTGGAAGCTCATAATTAGTTCAAAGGTTGTTTTTGACCTTAAAATAGGTCATTTAGGAAAGTTCAAGGTCACTGATAGAATAAGTGTAAAATTCAAAAAGGTCTAGTCGCCCACGTGGCGCAGTGGTAAGAGTGTCTCCTCTAGTGTCGTGGATTAAGGAGTTGATCCTTATGTCGCAGGTTCGAATCCCACAATGGGACGCAGAGACCGATCCTTCAGATGAGACCGTATAAACTGAAGTCCCGTCTGGCAGTAGGTGCTGGCACGAAAAACATCCTTCACTGTTCAATGGCCATGAGTGCCGAGTATAGGTCAAAATTTGCAGATTTCTATCGGCAAATATGGTGGCGTCTCCACATGATTGAAAAATTCTCGAGAGGGACGTTAAACAACATACACACAAACAAACAAACAAAAAGGTCTTTAATTTTGTAATAGAAAAAATTGCATGCATTTGCATTTCACTGAAAAGATGATAAATATATCATCCAAAGTGTGTAATAGCCTTGACTTAAATTCGAGGTCACTTAGAATATGATGTTTTGGATGAATAGTCTGAAAGAATACGTGACTGTGAATTTTTTTTTGTCGATGACATACAGATGGTGTTTGCTCTTAACCAGCTGCAGAATGTGTCCTGGCTTGACGCACGATTATTTGGACAAGTTCAAGTTCATTGACAGGGGAATTTTACATTCTTTTACTGTCTTTCTACTGTTGAAACATTGGAAGTTGATGCCCCTTACAGGATTGTTTATAACCTTAAAATGTTGCATGACCTTGACTCAAGGTCGCTATGTTCTGTCCGGAGCTCCGACGAAAGACCTATTCGTTGCATTGCAACGAGCTCGGCTCTAGTTAACACAATAATTATTAACATTTTGTTATATAAATAAACTCATCGTATCCCTGTGTATCCGAAATGTGCTTGGGAAAAGTCATAGTATAACTTGGGTAAAAAATATTTCCTGAGAAATTCAACTTACCTACAAATTTGAGGGTATTTTCCACACAATATCGTAATCTGTATTAAAACAAAGCCAACACACATTTTTCCCAAGCAAGATTCAGTTAGAGAACAACCTCTTCTTACAGATTTCCAAAAAAATTCTCAGATTAATCCTCATTAATCGCCTGCTCCATACTCTTTTATACACACAAAATAAATTCTACTTCCATCCACGGGTATAAAACAGAGTACATTTCAAAAGTATATTTTTCATAAGCATTTTGAACATGCTGAATTTCAATCAAGGGTAGGTAAGCGGTGTAATTTTAAAATATTCGGACATATAAGACTTAAAAAAACTCTAACGACCCGTGAATTTTGCAAGAGCTATCTAGCATTTTACATGCAGTTTGAAATAAAGTCTAAAGTTCATGACACTCTCCCCATCATAACACCTCAAGTTTGCAGTGACTTGACGTCATTTTCCATTATGACGTCATATTTTGGTACTTCAGAGATGTGAAGGCACAGAGTGCACTGTGATATTCTACGGGAAGCCTTAACCTACCTGCGTGTGTCTCTGCCATCACTGTTTTCAAAATTTGAGTAAGTGCTTTGATATTAATGGCTTAATTATCTTTTAGAAGACAATTCCAAATATAAATTGTCTAGCTCCTAAAATCATGAATAAAAAAAAATATAAATTCTGTTATTGATCAGTCACCATCATATGCCATGTATAGTGTAAAATAATCACTATTTTTATGATATGAAACCTGATATGAAACCTAAGTTTGATTTTTTAAATGTTCAGAAATCTTTCAAAGTTCGCAAAATGATTTACTAGGTAAGTCTATGCACACACAAGAACAACAAAAATACAGTAAATACACAAAACATCATACTTTAATTGTATCAATTAACTTATTTTTCATGACCAAATGTTGCCTTTTTATTATCAAGTTCAATAAGTAAAAACATGACAATAGTGGCGAGGCCACAGCAATCACATCAGGATGGGGATCATCTGATTCAGAATGGAGAATATCGCGTTATTATTACTCTTAAATCGATTTGATATTTATCTTAAAATTGTTTTGATTGCATTAATCGCAAAAAATACATTATTCATATTTATTCCCGACTTAAATAACAATAGCTTCTAGCGGTTTCGTTTTTTGAAAAATGAATCTGTAATATCAGTAAACTAGAATATTCCTGATACTAAGTAGGTCAATGCTGACATTTATGAAGGTCAAAGCTATCTATGCTAGTTCTATCCTTTGCTTGCTGAAGCTGATTCTGGCAATACTGTTTTTAACATGCTGATGCTGATGCTAGCTGGATGCTGATGCTTTATTTCCTTATGCTGATGCTGATTTCTGTAATAAAAATAGTTCTCGCATTGTATTTTAAGGACAAACACCATCAAATATTTTCCCATTACTGATAAATTCGTTTATGAATGCACCTACATCTACATGTAGGTGCGTTCAGCACCAAATGAAAATATCTAACCGAAGTTATCCCCCCTTCAATTTTTTACCTGTAACTCTTATATATCTCAAAGAAGTCTAAGTCTTCTAAGTCTTGTGAATTTCACTTGTCGAATACATATCAAGTCTTTTCTCTTATGCCCTGTTCACACTTAGAGTTTAATTCGAGCTAAACGTAAGTTACTGCGAATTAAATTTGAACTGTGTTCAAACCGCGGGAATATAATGCGAATTAGTTTAATTCGAATTCATTTACTGCGTAATTTCCTTCGTATATGTTTGTGTGAATTCTAAGCGAATTAAATTTTGACGCATGCGCAATGGCAAAATTAAGTCACATACAACATGTCGGTGGTCATATGTAAGTATTTACGCTTTTTTTGTGAAAAACAAAAAAAAAAAAAATTAAGTTAATTACTGAAATGTGCTCATACACTATGACATTATATCAAATGGATCTGCTCTGCACAATGTGACGTGGTTTGGAAATGACGTCATAATAGCATTACTGAATAACTAACTAGTGTAGAAATAAAATTTTAATTCGCATTAGTTTACTTCGCGTAAGCAAACATGTGAACGCAATTTAATTCGCATTACCGGTAGTTTAATTTGCATTATTTACATAGCATTAATTTACTGCGAATTATATTCTCCGTGTGAACAGGGCAATCATGTGCCCTGTAACATTTTCTTATCCGCACAACTTTGGGAGTCCAAAATGTCTGCGCCCATGTATATGTAGGTATTTTTCCAATTATAGATCGAACACATACAGTGTTGTTGGTTTTTTAGTACTCGCCAAACCCCGATGGTCTGGGCCAAACCCCGATGGTTTGATGTCGGTACGGACGCCAAAGTCCGATGGTCACGCCAAATTCCGATGGCTCGTTTCCTATGAGACGCGCTGCGCTAAAGTGCGATGGTCTGAAACACCAAAGTCGAGAAACAATCAACGTTTATGACGTCACAATATTCCGACGTCAATCCTTGAGGCCGTTGTCCTGCATTCAAAAGCCATCAGTTCAGTATTCGTCCTTCCATACAATTTTACTGATTTTGCTTATTGCTTGCACCACCAGAGATATTAGGGTTAGTCCTTGCACACCACTCGACTGATTAGGGTAAGTCCTTGCTTCGCACCAACCCGAGAGATTTAGGGTTTGTCCTCGCACACTAGTCCAGTGATTAGGGTTAGTCTCGCACCCACCCAAGATATCTAGGTTATAGTTGTTACACACTTTTCGAGTGAGTAGGGTTAGATTCACACCTATCCGAGAGATAAGGATTAGTTTTCGCATAATGATATTTATTTATAGTTATTTAAGACCTTGGCATGGCGCGGCATTGCAGTTTGGAGCAGTAGTTCTATGACGTCAAAAACGTCAATCGTTTTTCCGCACCATCGGACTTTGGCGTGTCAAACCATCGGGGTCTGGCGCAGACCATCGGACTTTGGCGTGACCATCGGACATTGGAGTCCCATCGCACATCGCACTTTGGAGTCCTACGCACACACACACACACACATACGTGTATGACGTGCCGACTGAACACCTTAACTTCCCACATGCAAATGGACACTTTTTGTAAAAGAGAGTTAGAAGGCAGAAATGTTAATTTTTTAACTAAAAATAACAACTAAACATTATATCAGACCTGATATGTATAAAAAAAGGTTTATTTCATTCCTTGATTTTTCACTTACCAAGTGAACACTAAACTGATACACAACCAATTGAACACTTTCATTTACACACTATCAACTGAACACTTCTAAGGCACACAGTCAACTGAGCACGTCTGACACACACTGTCATCTAAACACGTATAATACACACAGTCAACTAAGCACATTTAGCACACACACAGTCAACTTATCACCACTGATACACACGATCAACTGAGCACGTCTGACACACACTGTCATCTAAACACATATAATGCACACCGTAAACTAAGCACGTTCAACACACACAGCCAAGTATTCACTTCTTAAATACTTGTACATGGTTAACTGTGCACCTCCAACACACTGTCAAACACACAATCAAATAACCACATCTGATACACACAGTCAACTAATTAAAAGCATCTTAAACATACGATGAACAATACCATCTCCAGAAAAAAACAACCTAGCAAGATAGAAATATTAAGTCGACCTGCCTCGTTAACATAGTCAGGTATACATGTAAATGTTCTTTATGGACAAGATTTTTTTTAAATGAAAAAAACAGTTTAACAAGATAGAAATATTAAGTCGACCTGACTCGTTAACATAGTCAGGTATACATGTAAATATTCTTTATGGACAAGATTTAAAGAGGCTGGGGGGTTGTGGCCATTTTTAGACTATATTGATCTCCTTTAGAAGAAGAGCTCCATATGAAGATATAGAAAATGATCAAATTTTAAGACTAAAATTTTTGAAATTTTTCTTTGCCAAATGATAGTTGACAGCTTAAGATATCATATCTAAAAAATTAAGTTAAATCTGGTGGTTAATTTGTGGTTAATTTGTTGACCCCCCCCCCCCCCAGCCTCCTTAACGCATCCCGGAATTCATGCATGATCACCGATGAACCGAATCGTACAAACAAGTGTCCACTCGTGTTTTGGTTTCTCAAGGTGAGAACACTTACAGCGGAAAACGTTTAATCTTGACAATTGAAGCACAATAATATCAATAGAAATGAATCTTTTTTGAGAATTTACTTTGGAAAAGTCCATTAATTCATCTTATTCTGAATTTTAGCACAGCCAAGAATTGTAAATAAACATATTTTGAAATATTGTAAATATATAGATATATTAGGAAAGGTTCTACTTTCCCATTTTTCCGTTTGTCCACCTTTCATTCACCGTGCGTTCAACGTCCGCTCACCATGAGCTCATCATGCGCTCAATATTCACAGTTTTGTGTTCAGCGTTCACCAATCGCTCGCGTTAACCGATTTACAAAGCATTGTTTTGAACATATTTTATTGAGTACATCAAACGGATTGGAAGCAAGTTCTTATAACTTACTATTTTCTCTCCTTATGTATTACATTATGTCATGCAAATTAAAGAAAAATAATACAATTGATACATGTGAAAAAGCAATTGAATAACATATCAACTAGATAATCTACATGTTTCGTCAATAAATTTATGATCAGCAGCAAATATACTATTATTCATCTGCATGCAAAAAAGAAATGTTACACATCTTCATGTTTTTCCACATGAACATAATGGACTATTAATAATTTCGTTTATATGGATCATACTTTAGTAAACACTCTATAGTAATATTGTAGCTTAGTATGAATGATATTGGTATCTCGCTTACCGAAAGAAAAGTACGATGGTGGTTTTTTTAATTTTTTGTTATCAAGTTTTTTTTCTTCAAAATGTATTTATTGAGATGGCTTTTCTGACCTCTATTTTTAATAAATCCCATTGATTTGCAGAATCAGGTACGACGGAATTTCTAAATAATTCTAATCTACATCTCGGAACTATATAATCTTGTTTGTATATGGATACATGATAACGCTTTTTGGAAACACTATTGTGCAAATATTCAGGCACTCTTCCCCTGCGAATTTTGAATATAGTAGTCATTTTTGCAATATATCGCCTGATCTTTTAAGTTTCCCAACCAGTTTCAGAATAAAGTGCTTCTCTAGACACAAAAATAGGAAGTCCTGTTACAATTCTAGCGGCGGTAAGTTGTACTTTTTCAAGCTTTTCAGAATATTGTTTAGAGCAGCCATCCCAAACTACTCAAGCATATTCAAGCATAAGTCTGATAAATTAAAAATACAATTTTGATAAGTTTTTCCTACCTATTTTGAACTTCATTTTTTTTAAAGGCCAAGTTTTTATTTACACTGCAAACAACACCACTAAACATAATACTAATATCAGACCTAATATGTATATAAAAGGTTATTTTATTCCTTGATTTTTCACATACCAAGTATACACTTAACTGATACACAACCAATTGAACACTTTCATTTACAAACTATCACCTGAACACTTATAAAGCACATAGTCAACTGAACACGTCTGACACACACTGTCATCTAAACACGTATAATACACAAACGCAACTTAGCACATTTAGCACACACACAGTCAACTAATCACTATTGATACACACGATCAACTGAGCACGTCTGACACACACTGTCATCTAAACACGTATAATACACACAGTCAACTAAACACATTTAGCACACACACAGTCAACTTATCACCGCTGATACACACGATCAACTGAGCACATCTGACACACACTGTCATCTAAACACATATAATTGATATATTAGGAAACGTTCTGCTTTCCCGTTTTTCCGGTAGCCCACCTTTCGTTCACCGTGTGTTCAACGTCTGCTTACCATGAGAGCATCATGCGCTCAATGTTCACAGTTTTGCGTTCAGCTTTCAACATCCGCTCGCGTTAACTGTTCACAAAACATTGTTTTGAACATATTTTATTGAACATCAAAAGGATTGGAAACAAGTTCTTATAACTGAATAGTTCTTCTAATGTACTTATACATGTATTACAATACAGTACTGGTATGTCGTGCAAATTAGGAAAAATAATACAATTGATATATTAAGTGAAAAGCGATTAAGGTCTGATGACACGTTCCTCAAATATTTAATTTGTTTCTCTTTGTACTGTTTCAAAATCTATTGACAATTGCCATTCTCTTGTGAATTCTAAACTATTTTGAAAAGGTTTTTGAAAATAAGTACATCAAAAATTGTGATTTTGGCAAACTCAAGCTATTTCTTATAGGATTATACAAGTAATAGCTTTTCAAAAAGCTTGCCTGACTAATCAATCAATATCTATGGAACGTATAAGCAAGAGAGGTGCT